TCACTTTTACTCAAATATCCAGTAATAAGATCTCTTATTACTGGTCAGAATTTATTTTACTAATCATTTAAAGCAAGAACTATGTATTGACAGGAACAGAAGGTCTGCAGACATGAGTATAATGCAAACTCAGAATCTTATGTAGCACCTATTTTGTTTTTATTTTTGCTTTTTAAGTACTAAACTCAAGTCCGCTCTATTTCCTGTAGTCTTTCACCTGTTGTTCTTGTCATATTTCCCCTGGAACTTTATGTGTCTTTCCCAGCAGAAATTATTCCAGACACCTCATATTGAACTATACTCTTTCAAATAATCATCTCTTCTTTTCCCTATATGTTCTGGGCACAGCAGATAGAGCCTTTAATGTGCTGGATTATCTCCTCATTTGTGACTAGGGACTCTTTCAGTGTTAGTAGCATCTTGCTTTACTGTCATTCACAAACCACATCTCCCACTGGTGGTCCCTATAAAAACAGGCTGGACGTTGCCTGTTGATGGGATGTAGAGATTAATCTTTGATCTTCCTTTGCAGGCAGCCCTTGCTTTTACTTTATGAATGTACCTTAATTTTGACCCCTGCATTATTTTTAATCTTATTTTCTCCTCTCTTTGTCCTGTTAAGGAGGGGGTGAAACAACAGGCCTGATGGGCACCTGACTTTCAGCATCAGTTAACCCACCACACTATCTCACTTGGTTTTCCTTGTGACTGACCATTCCCAGAACCATTTGCCACTAATATTGCCTTATCGGGATTTGGTTCTTCATATTGGTTCCAAGTGAAGTAACTCAAGCCTGTGGTAGAAGTTGGTTAAAAAAGAAAGTGTAGTAAACATGCATTTCATCCTTTTAAATAACATGATAAAACTAAGCCTTTTGACATTATGTGAGCTCTCTGGTTATTTGTGTCTGAATCAATACTTGTTTTCTCTTCAGCACCAGTAGATTATTATTTACACATGTCAATTGGTATGGGAATCAGGGAAACACCGCCGTGAACCCTTGTCACTGTGAATGGGAGGTCATGTCGAGGCACACTGTAAGACGATGCAGAATCTCCACCTGTGAGCCAAGAGTATTCCACCAGAGCTCAAAGTGTCTTATTGGATGCAGGCATTTTGTTTATTTGCTTGTTCCTCATAGATGCAAAACCCTGAAACTTCCCTCAAAGATATGTGGAGATTAGGTTTTGTCAATAGCCTGTGTTCATTCAGAAGAGTGTAAGATCCCTCTCAAAGCTGACTCATCTGGGGTACTGTTCAAAAGAACACACATTGTGAAGCTATTCACACAAATATTATTTGGGTTAAAAATACCAGCTTATCTGAGGGAATACATCTTCAGAATGAAAGGTAGACTTAGATTAGTGGTGGGTTGACCCTGGATATATGACAGGTGCCCACCAAAGCTGCTCTCTTCCTTCCCTCTTCAACTGGAGCATAATTACATCTGCACTGTAATTCTTTTTTCCTTCTTAAATATGTTATCACTGAGGTGCTACTAACTTTTCTGATTGGCTCATCCTGGGTCAGCAGTGGGTCTGTCCTGGAACCAGTCATCCTTGGCTTTGCCACACATGGAGGAAGCTTCTGGCAGCTTCTGACAGATGCTCTCCCCGACAGCTCTTCGCACTGCCAAAACCTTTTCATGCAAACCCAATGCCATAAGACAACAAAAAGTTATCTCAGCACTGGTGAATTAGCTGTTTCCTGAACCATATTTTTTGGGCTATTGTCTAAATTACCTTTCATCTATTATTTTATTTCACCTTAGGGAGGGGAATCTTGTGTCCAAATACAACTTACCAGCATTTATAAGATTTTCAGGCAGTTACCTCTATATGCATGAATATGTATATCTAGCTATACAGATAGACATATACATATACATTAAAAATGTTAATTTTACCCAATGAAAAAGCCCCTATAGATATCTTCAGATCTTCATTTCTATTCCTCAGAACCCCAATTAAAATTCTGTTTTCTCATGCTATCTTCAAAGCATCTGACAATCGTTAAACTTACAGAGTTTTAAAACCACTGCCTAGTATCATCTCTGGGCTTTATTTTACCACTCATAGCCTGCAACCATCTGTCTCAGACCATCTGTTGTCTCGTCTTCTACTTAGTTTGAAAATTCTTCAGATGAGGATTGTCTTCTTGGTTCACATTTGGCAAAGAGCTCCTGGCCTTTAATAGACTTTTAAAAGTATTTTGATAATACAAATAAGAGTAAGAATCAACTTAGCTGTCAGTCAAGAAAGTATATTGCAATACATTTACAACATCTGAAAGATTTCATTCTTGTGGCAATGTTTAATGTTATACATTCAACACATTTCTGTAGCAGTAACTTTCAAATGTCTGTGTATTACCAGTAAGTGTTATTACAACTGACTGAGATGAATTAGTAATTTAGATAAAAACTTAAATCTCTTAGTTTTCTAAGATTTTATGGGCTTATTTTTTTTTTACGTTTAAAGCTGGAAGATCTCTTTGTATGAGTATTGATAATGTAGTTTGTGGGAATATGTTACATTTTTAGTCGGAGCTATTACAGGGAAAAATATCTGGAGTGAATTTTGGTTTATATTCACCTTACTCAACCTATGCTGATTGTTTAAAGGTTCCTTTATTTTGATGAAAAATTAAACCTATTGGTCATTAAGAAAATAGAGTAGTGCATCCATACACAATTAAAGTCTGGTATGATGTATCTCCATTACCATTTCCTCCAGAACTAAATTGTCAGATTTTACTTTAATTCCAAGACTACTATGAAAAAATCACCTTAATTATAGAATTCTTGGCATAGCATGTACGTTGTCAGTCAACTTGACTGATTCTTATTGCTGAGTTACCAGTCTAAAATTGTATTAAATTTATTTTCAAAATGTATTTTCATTAACTTTTTTTATGTTATGCAACTGTAATATAAGATGTGCCTTTCAAAAAACTTCTTAAAAATTGCCAAACATTTCTGATTACAGATTCTTCAGCTCGACTCTCAATGAGAAGTTCTCCATTGCAAAATACTGAACCTCAGGAAATTGCTGCTTATATTGTCTTGGGTTTGGCCTCACAACCAGTAAGGCTAAAGAAAAATTATAAGATAACATATGTATGTATTATCTTACTGACATACATTCAAATGATCTAGTTTATTAGAAAATGTAAAACTTTCTTTGATAAGTTACCCTTGGCCATATAATACCACTATATTAGAAGAGTTTTACAGATATCCACATTTGAAAGTTATAGTCAAGATCTATAATAATTGATGAATTATGATATTACAACAATCTTTGTTGTTACCATACAATTCCAAAAATGCTTATGTACTTTTTAGTTTTCTCTCTTGCCTGAAATATTCAGGCATGTATGCATAAAACTGGGGAAAAAAAGTCCAAAACCCTATAGACCATTACTTTTGGAAAGAAAGAAAAAATAAAGTTGTACTACATATCTGATATATACTTCTATATATTTTTTAATCAGGGGCTAATGTACTCAGATAATACCTCCAAGCCAAAATTTGTAGTGACTAAGTAACAAAAGTAGGCCAGGCCATTCTGTCTGGAAATTCACAACTCCAAGAGTTGTGCTAAATCTGCAACCTCTAATAATGTGTTGATGAAAATATACTTCCTTTGTCATGGGCTAAACATTTGACTGGTATGACTGCTTCCTGCCCTGTCAGAAGCTGGTGTAAGGATGAAGAAGGCTATGAATACCAGCAAATGGTATTTACTTGTTTGCTATTTCAAATAAACCAATGATTAAGTGTTTACCTCACCTCCAATTTTCTATGGTACTGAAGGGAAGGAATAAAATTTTTTGGCAATGTGATGAACTTCTAGCCACAGTTGAGTGTAGACATATACAAACATTATGAATCAGTGCTACTGTATTGGCTTTGTTATCTTTTAATTCACAGTAGTGTATCTTATTTTTTCTTTGTCTTTTCCTTGGTTTGATAAATGCCGCATCAAAACACTTTGGTAGACTGTAAAAATTATTTACAGACTTCTGAATGCCAACAATATTAGTAAAATTATTATATAAGCGATGAACAACATTAAAAAGCTTTTCTTATTTAAGATTTTTTTTTTAAATTTAAGTAGTGCAGTTGAAAATCACCATGAAGTGTCTACATACCAGAGCCAAGGGAAGCAGAGAATCCACTTCATTGTGTAGGACAGTTAATTTATCTTCTTTCCTCTGTAATCCTGCTTGTCATATAAAACTGTGAGCACAAAACTATAGCTCAGTAACATAAGGCTTATTAAAAATAAAATACATTTTAACCCCACTTCTAAAGTGGTAAAATACAAATTAATTAGGACACTGACAAATAAATTATGCTGCTTATGCTGTATAAGTGCTCAACAAGTTCATGTAGCCTGAATTTTAGGTACCTAGCTGAAGTAAACATGGAGTTTATTTGCATAGAAACAGTCCAACTAGCATAAGATAGGCAATGCAAAGAAGCCCCTTGTTTCTTTATTAAATCAGTATTTTTTAAAGATAAACTCCTTTGCCTAATGGACATATATTATGGAATAGAATCCATCTCAAATGCTGGCTCACATTTATTCATCTAATTATATATTCCCAAAACATTTAGAGGTATATACAAGCATGTATACATGTATACAAGATTTTTTTTTTCCTTTTAGATAATAAAATGTCGTCACTTGTAATTGAGAGATATACGTCAGTCTTCAACCTGTCATCTAAATACTCTTCCATTAAATTTATCTTAATTTCTTTTTGGTGATGAACTACATTATTTAAATTTGCCTATGATTTAAGAGTATGTGTCCTTTCTCCTAATAGATGAGGACTAAAAAAAAAACATAATTACTTTCTAGGATCACTGCCATATGTTCTGGAAAATAAGAGTGGTTACAATGGAAAATTTAACAAAAACGGTCTTTTGTTTTAAACAGAATTTCTAACAGTTAATTGGTTATAAACCATGTTACTGAGTGACACGTAAAGAACAGAAGCATTTTGTATAAGAACATAGAGAGGAGAGATGGAAGGAGGAGTTAAGACCTGGTGGCTTAAAATGTTCATCTCCATACCCATGGTGTTAGATACAGAGCTCTCTTTTGCCTCAGAAATACAACTGGGAAATGCTTAAAGCAAAAGTTTCTGAGAGGTTTGAATACTCTCTTCTTCTTAATTTCAGAAGAACCAGGGAACACAGAGGCATAGTAGCTGCTTATTTTGTACTTGCTACATCTATAAGAGTGCAAAGACGCCTAAAAATTGCTTTCTACATCATAGGTAAATATTTTCTCTCTTAATTTATCTAATGCATGCTTAGTTTAAGAGATTTTTGGAATGCAGAGGCTGTAATCTTGTGGATAGTATTTAGCTGGTCTCTTACTTTCTCAAAAAAAAAAAAAAAAAGTTTAGTTTTATTTGGGTATTCATTCCTTCCCAGATCATATGAGCTGGTACCTTCTTGTAAGTCACAGCAAATAAGACACATCCCAGAAGAGATTTTACAAATACAGTCTACCTGCTTGGTGTTAATGAGTGACTGCAGATCCCTGGAGGTCAATAGAGGCATGATGCTTAAGACATTCCTGACATCTCATCCACTGTGAATTCAGCTGTTTATCTTGGTACAATAGCAGGGCTCCATATATTCAGGTGACTGGAAAATTTTATGAGTAGGGTTACAGTCTCAGGCACTCCAATGTTTTTATGACATATTTGTATTTCAGATTTTCCATGAAATTGTGAAATTACTCCTGATCCACCTGTGAAAGTACCATGACTTTTAAATAAGAAGGAACTAATTATTTTTCTAGGCATAGTTTCTACACAATTTTTTATTCACTTCCTTGACTGCTAAGAGCCCAATTGTAGATTGAAGTACAATTTTTTTAGGAAATCAGACATGTGTTCTCTTTTTCCAGTCATTTGTAATTAACAGGTAAAATTGATAACTTTATTTCTAAGTCTCCCGGCATCTCCAGCTAACAACATGATTTCAAAACTAAATGTTGTAATTAGTAGATCTTATTCTTTCCAGACCACTTGATTTTCCTTTAAGCATTAATCACATAATGAGAATCTCTTTTTTCATCAAACTTTTTTCTTCAGTTTAAAAATCATAAAATAATTTATGTTCTAATCTCTGCTTTTTTCTGTTTGGGTCAGCTTCTAAATTATTCTACTAGCTATACAACATCTATTTAATCTCAAAGATTCTCTGACTATTTAGAATGCAGGGTGAGCTAAGCTTCATTGGAAAAAGGTAGGTAACTATATTCTCAAAGTATGAAACCTGAACTTGCAAGTAAAATATTAGATTGAAGGAAGAACTGAAATGAAAGTTCCTACTAAAATGGGAACACTGGTTGTGATGTGCTTTGGCTACCCTAACAAAAAGAAGACTTCAAAAATGGAATATTTAAGTTACCAAATAAAGGTCTTAGAGGATCTAGCAATGAATTGAGGAAGACACTGAGAAGTTCTGGATGGGCAACAAAGCAATGTAGACAGAACAATTGTCCTTAAATGTCTATAAGGAAAATATAAACTACATTTATTAGTAAAAAATGGAGATAAAAAAAAAAAAATAGACCAGAGAAAGGGTTGTGTTGCAGGAGTTTTTTTTTCTATTTTGTTAGATACGTGGCTTTGGCTGGGAATTCTATTCTTCATAAGAGAGTAACTGCATTATTATATAATCACCATAATGTTTCATTCCAGTCAGTGACTGCTTTCTCAATGAACTTTATTTTGCCTTCCTAAGGAAGCAAGTTTATTTCTTTAAGCCAGCATATAAGCAACATTTAATTTTATTCTGATAAAAAAATAGAAAATCTATAACAATTTCAAAATACTGAAAAATTAATTGCCCTAATTTGGATATTAGGAAAGTAATCTGTCAAGTGTCTTTGGAGGAGAAATTCATTTAGTATGAAATTTTTATTTGTTTCTAGGTAGCAAAAAAATTTAGAATTTCAAATGTAATAGATTTTCTGTTTTGATCTATTTACAGTTAAAAATATATAAACCCCTGGATATTTGTAAAATTTTGAAGAGTAATTAGTTGCTCTAATATCATGAAGTGTCAAGGACTCATTTGCATGCAGGTAGAACAAAGCTTCATCTCACAATGCTGTCAAAGAAAACATAGAAATTTGATTTTATGTTTAATTTAAACTTCTTCATCAGTTATTGGGCTTGACTGTACACTCAGTGAAGTTATAGGTGAAGTCATTACCTCAAAAAGGTCTTCTTTTGTTAATTTCTTTTTGGCTGTATTTTTTAAGCTCCTGCCAATGTACTGACATAGCTCCTGACTGAACAGGAGTTTAAGTCTTTGCTTAAGTCTGAGCACATAATTTTCTCTAATTAAAATTCTACATGAATGTGGCAGACTTCCAGCCCTCAGTCTTAATACAGTTGGAACTCACAATTGGATCAGAAGGAATTATGCTTTCAGTAAAAAAACATCAATCCTGAGGGACGGAAGTTTGATGTTATCTTACAAAGGAAAGGAAAACTTTGTCCATACCATAAAAATACTTTTACTCCTGCAGAAAATCCTTTATTTGCTATGAAAAAGTCCAGTCAGCAATGCATTCTGAAATCCCATCTATATTGCATGCAGTAATCATTTGATGACTAGAGTGAAAAAAGTATATAATTCTTTTTGTAAAAAGAATTTGTTACAGAAGGATTCTAGCATGGGGCTTTTGAGTACTACAGAATACATAACCTCCAAAGTTTCATGAAGGTATTATAAAGGTATGGCTAGCATTCTCTCTTACATAAATATTTTCAAAAGTAAAAGAGAAATGTCTCAGAAATTTGTTTTTTTCCTAATGCTTTTTTCTTATATAGTTTTAACTTTTCTTTTGTAGAATATAGATGTTATTTTTCATGCTGAATTCTGTTGAATTTATGGTTGACTGAGAGAGATAATGCATATGATCTTTTATAATCACCTATAAAAGTGGAAATAATATTTTTAGGTGTCTTACTATTTAGGTTACCACTACATGCTAGATCAGCTGTCCTTAACATACCATCTGAAATGAGATTCTCTCATGAAAAAGTGCTCAATAGCAAAGCAGATTCAAGATGTTCTCAGTTCTATTCTGCTCCAATACTGGCATCCATTTAAGCCTGGATAATACATCTGCATATTCTTCCCTTCCGGTAAAAGGTAAGAGGCAACATTATTAAAAAGGGCTGGGATATGACAATTTTTTTACAAAATCCTACAGAAGCTGAAATGTCTGTTTCAAGTTTAAGCACTCCAAAGGATTGTATTTGCAAAACTGTAAATGAGTTGAGACGGTGATGTATAGATTTGTCCTAAATTCCTATGAGTATGCCACAACTGGGTACCTGTGTTTTACTTCACTTCTGTTATTAGAATTACTAAATGAGGTTTTGATCAATACACAGTAAAGTAGCAGTGTCATAAAGCAGATACCTTTAATAAAATTTTGCTTAATGCTAGGCAGAGTATAGAATTCTTTACAATAAATATCTTGCAACTTTCTCTGTCCTTTTAATGAACCCACCTTATAAAGATAATGTCAAGTATTGGTAGTTATTTGGTAAAAGAAATATCCCAGAAAGTATTTACTGGAGAAAGTAAAAGCTTGATATAAATATCAATGAACTAATGGGACCTGTTTAGAAGGCTGGATCAGCATTACAGTTCTAAGAAAATGTCGTCTCATCTGGAATAGTAGCATTTTAGATCCTCAAAGTCAGACAGCCAGCATCTCCTAAATTTAATTTAATTTTTAAATGTTTTATCAAGATTCAATGTGATTTTAGGATGAATAATTTCAAGCCTGCATGGCCATAAATATAATATTGTTCTTTAATGTTTGATAGATGAGAAGTTTTTCTTGTGGCAGAAAAAGTGTTATCATAATGCAAAGTAAGTACAATTACTGATATGTCCAAACTAGTCTTTGTACAAATAACAGCATTTTATCTCAAGTCAGATTATTTACTATGTTTCTGTATATTTTCTTTTTTATTAGGTTATCTGACACTAAGCTGTTTAATTTATAAATTGTGATTGGAATCTGGCATTTAGAGGTGGGCTTTCTTAAATAGTTGCAATTTTATTGCTTTGTATTTCAAGCTCCTATTTTCTTTTAAGCTTTCTTATTTGAGTTATTTGAAAAGTGCTATTGATGCCTAGCACCAAATTTAAGTCTACCTAATCAAGTACAGGAATATAATCTTAACTAGAAGATAAAATAAGAACACTTACCAGATTAAAAAAAAAAAAAAAAAAAAAAAAAAAAAAAAAAAAAGGGAGATGAAATGAAATAATGGCCAAAGATTTAAAGTCACTGTCTGGAACTGTAAAGGAAGAGAGAATCCCATAAGGTGTTGCCAATCTGTAAATAAGAAATTACATTTATTGGCTATATCAGAAGAACTTACATGCTCACTCCTGTGAATAGAGGCGAAACATTTTGGCCTTAAATGAAAACTTTTGAATAAAGACTCCAGGAACATAAAGCAGTATTGATATGCAAGCTAAAAAGAGGTAAACCTTGAATAAATTCCAGGGACTTTTTTTCCCCAACAGTGCCTGTTTTGAACCAGTTATGCATCTAGGAAAAAAAACTGCAAATGTTTTTCATGATGAAGATCATTAAGGAGAGAAAACTTTTCTTTTATAAAGTATTATTTTTAACAGTTATTTTGAAATCCACCTCCTTCTTGTTCCATGCAATCTTTGACCTTGTCAGTTTTAATAGGTTTTAACTTTTATTCAGCTGTCATATTCTTGCTCTCATTTTCCTTACTAAAAAACTTACCATCTGTCTGAAACAGCAATATTTTCATTGTTAAGGCATCTTCTCCCACAACATATGTCTTCAATTTCTAATGTGAATCAGAATACTTGAAGAATGTTGTCACTGATCATGTCACCAATCTGATTGAATCAGCCTTGACATATTGCCAATTAAACTGCGCACTTTAAAGAGAAGTATAAGTAGCACTTGCTTTATTGAAAGTTTCAGTATAGCTTACTAGGATAATGAAACACAGTTTCCCATATTTTTGAGGAGATTCATGAAATAATAGGAATTTAAGTTTTTTGGTCCACTTAATAAATTACATTTGCAGTTAGAAGGATTTTTAAAAATTAGATGTTTTAATTTTCTTAAACATCTAAATTATCAAATGAATTAACCTAATAAAACATGTATTTGCATAATTCTGGGATCATGACATTGTATTAAAAACGTTCCAGCCATGGAATCTATGACATATTATAATGTTGTCTCTTTATAGCTCTCCAATGCCTGATTTAAAAATATTTGAAGTCTTTTATATTATCTATTCACAGATGCATTAATCCAACATTTTTTTTTCTCAGTAGCAGAATTTCCAAAGTATATCTAGCCATTAGAAAACAAAAACTTCTAATGATGGGAAAGGTATTGCAAGATAATAAAAAATACAATTAGTGATGGAAAAAGTCTTTAATGTGATTTCCTTTTGAGAGTATATGATCAGGAAAACTGTTTTCAGCTGGTAGAAATTAGGAGCACTTGGAGACTTCAGTATTACTTCGTATAAACCACATATTCTGCACCAGTTTTTTTTTCATAGACCTTTGAACAGTTTAGTCCTGCAAGATACTGAATGTCTTGTCTCCTTCCTATTAAATGGTTTCCAATAAGGTTAGTCAAACTTTTTCCAGCAGAGCTACTCTTCAATATAAAATTATGCTGCACGGATTTCTTCCTAAGTCTTCTGTTCAGAATATTTATTTGTGACTTTTCTTAAAATCTATATAGTCAGACTTTGATAAATCCCAAATGTGAAAGAAAAGGTGAAATATGATTGCTTAAAAACTTTTTGTTTATGTTACCATGTATAGATACATCTTATTCAACTATACGCATATGATGTATGTGTGACATTACATATAAATGCAACACATGTAGATATCACATTGTCTGCATATGTATATAACACAATGCCAGATTCAATGGGGTCACTTCAGTATGCAGAAAGAAATATAAAAAGACCTTACTTACACTAAAACCCTAAATTTCTGCATGTGGAAATGTTAATTGGTAGCAAATACTAATGTAATTTTGGTAGCAAACACTAATGTAATGGGAAAGAACTATTGCTCTAGGCAGCTGATAACTTCTCTACAAAGCCTTCCACCAACCAGACAGCAAATCTGGGACAACTGACTTGATGAAGATTTTTTCTTCTTTAAAACATAACCCTGTTCTCCTTCCAGTTTTTAAGCTGCTTTGTAGAATTTCTTACCTATCTTCTGTATTTCAAGAAGGAATATGCAGAGCCACTGTTTGCATTTAAGAAGAGAGCTATTTACCTTCAAAAAGAGCATATATCTTTGACCGTACAGAAAAGTTCCTATGTGTACTACCTGGCAATGAACCTATATCTTGCAAAATGTGTGCATATACATATTTGCAGTGGGGAAGCCTTGACTAAGGCCATGGCAAAACAACATAAAGTTATCTTATGTTATTTGCATTCAAAAAATGCAGTTGTGTTACTGAGTCATAGCTACTTTCATGAGATAGAGCAGTAGGCCTGACCTACCTATCACACACAGCTTCAGTTTGTCCCTAAGCTGTAATTTTCTTACATGACTAAAAGGCTCGTACAATGCCCTGGTCATAGATGTACCATGGTATTTGCTAATAGCAGAAGGATGATTGAAGTGCTTCTGCATATACAAACAGTGGTTTTCAATAAATGTAAACAGGTAAAACAAAAAAAAAAAGAAAAGTAAAGAAAATACAAATATACAAAGAAAAAGAAGTCATCACTTTAATTGTATTTAATGTAGAACAGATGATGATAGAGAATATAATTTATTTCCATTTGGCTGGGACAGTTTTGCCTTTGATTTCTGTAACTGGGACACAGTGTATTGGTATTTCAGGAGAAAACAAAAGCTTGTATCTAAGATAGATGAAATGTGTATTTGTTAAAGCTTTAAATTTTCAAAGTATGAATCACATCTATTTTAAGATTGGACTGATTTTAGGAGAACTGTCAAGCAAGGACACATGGTTTCACGGAACATTTTTAAAACTGAACTGCAGTTTATATGAGGAAACCTTTATTTCTTGTGCCAGAATTTACCCAAATTGAGATTATCACAAATCTTTATTATGTTCTTCCTTGCAATTTGAAATAGATACTAAAAAAGAAAAAAGTACAGCAGATAAGATACTTTATCCCATGGTGAGAATAACAAACAAGATGAGACTTATGTAGAAGGAAATTTGCATTCCAGTCAGTGTTCGTGTGTATAATCAAGTACTGTGTGCAGTTAAATGAGTCTGTTGTCTTGCTGTAATGAGTATCTACATCCATCCTAACAGTTAATGAGGAATAAATGACTTATTATCAATGAATGGCAGTATCTAAATAGCCTTGCAACAAAAACAGAATATTAATATGTGTAGCTAAAATACATCTTAAATGATAATGAACTTACTCAGACTATTAATTATTTTAAAAGCCTGTAGTAAGGTTTAATGCTTCTGGATGGAATTGGAGCTCCACTGGTTCAAGTGCCTTATATGTTTGCAGACAGTTAACAAATGACCCTTTAAAACTATCTTATAGAACTGAATGGAAAAGGGTTTTTATGAAATACCAGGGCTGCCATAAAAAAATCAGACTAAAGATCTCTCTAGTTCAGCGTTTTATTCCCACCCGAAATTAGGCCTACTCACTTCAGTGGAAACAGCAAGAATAGTCTCTATAGCTGATGGTGCATTAACTGACTCACTTCCTAATCATCAGCTGAGGGTGAGCCTATGCCCTGAGGCACAAAGGCTATGCCTTTTGCTATCTATTTTCTTTTCTTGAATAAAAAGGTTTTCCAATACAGCAGAAAGATCTCTTTGCCACATTAATGTCAAATTCATTTCTCTAATTTCTAAAATCTTGGTCTCATCCCTGCCATGTTCAGAGCATGAAACTGCACTTATAGCAGAAATTCGGCTTAAGTTTTCACAGCAGTGAGTAGATAAAGTGACCTCTAATCTAAATAGATTAACAAATTCTGGATAAATAATTAATTGTGGTCTTTCTTTTAATTCTTCTTAACTTTAGCCAAGTTCTCAGCTATTATTTTAATCTAGGAGGCTATTCCCACAGCTTGGTTTGATTCAGAAAAATTAAGTATCTCAGATAGCCTTAAGTAAAAAAGTAAAATCCCAAGCAAATTTTGTTCACACCCCCTAGCCACAGAGCTAGGCATTTCTATTTTGAGATTCTTCCACTAAGCTTAGGAAGATAATAGGGGTTAAAGAGAAAAATAACATGGTGAGAATCATTATTATTGTTATTTTTAATGGAATTTCCTTTTCCTCATAGATATTTCACAAGCAGTATGTGTTTAAACTATGCTTCTGGAAGAAAAAAAACTCCACTGTAATGCTCTAAGTGGAATTATTTAGAACACAACACCAAAAAAAATTAAACCTCACTGAAAATTCTTAGGAGTACGTAGGTCAACAAGTCTAATGTAATATGTTATATAATAAACATCACTCTTTGCAATCTGATCTAAACACAATAATATATATTTATGCAGATAATTATTGAGTGCTACACTGGACTTGAAAGACTCTATATTTGAATTTCAGATAATGAGTTTCCTAACTAGCTACTTACTATGAGAGACTTTTGGACAATTTCCAGAATAATTTTTTGCTATACTTCTTTTTCTGATACAGAGAAATTCTCAAAAAAAAAAAAAAAAAAAAAAAAAAAGCACGGTAAAAATATGCATAGAAAAGAAGTAGAAATATTTTTTCCCCCTCTATTTATTCTTTCATGGTTTCATTTCAGCTGAAATTCAATGATCTTAGTACTATGTTGTTGTTAGATAGGTCACAAAGATTGACCTGAAGTCTAAACCAGATTCATCTAAATCTGTGGATATTAACTTCAGTTTTAACTCAACTCTATGTTCAGTTTGGTGTCTGCTATAGCAAAATAATATGTTTCTGATCTTCTATTATTCCTTCAAAGAGATACACAACAGCCTTCCAGTACCTAAAGAGAGCCTTGCAAGGAAAGCTGGAAGGGACATTTTACAATTGCATGTAGTGACTGGAAAATAATTTATGCCATTAAACCGAAAGATGGTAGATTTATATCAGTTACTAGAAAGAAATTCTTCACTGTGAGGTGTTGAGGCACTGGAATTGGTTGACAGAGAAGTTAGGAATGTCCAGTCCCTGGAAGTGTTCAAGGCCAGATTGGATGGTACTTTGAGCAATCTGATCTAGTAGAAGGTGTTTCTGTCATGGCTGGAATTAGATGATCTTTATGGTCCCTTCCAGCCCAAAATATTTTGTGATTCTATGATTCTGAAGTTCTGTTACCCATTTTTGTAGCTAGTTTCCTCCTTAATGGAGATAAAACAAACTGATATTTCTACTTCAAAGTACTTGATGAACTAAATACAATTAACAAACCAGTAAGGTGTATTAAAAGACATATAGACATCTGATGTCAAGATATTTGAGTAGTTTTTGTTACACCCAAAATCTCCTTATGAGTTTAAAGGAAATACCAGATGTCAAGTCTGTAATTTATTAGTGTAATTGAAATATTAAGTATCTAACTAAAGATTTATTAATAAAAATTTTAACGATTAAATAAAAATTGATTTCCCCAGGATACTCAGGCATCAAATCTTTTCTGGGAAACTTCAGTGGCTTATGCTTCATTCTTTCTTTCCCACTCATTTTGCAAGTTAGAAATTAAACCTGAATTACAGACACAATTGAAAAATAATTCGAGTTTATTCAGTAGATCAGTAAAATACTAAAAAAAGTTCTAATTCAAAAGATAAAACCAGCTGAGTAGGAAAGCCATTTCCTTGTAATTCCTGTGCTGGTACTCATTCAAGGTTTTCTTTTAAATACCAAGGATTAAAGCATTTGTTGTAATAGAAAATGAGAATCCATTTTCACGAGAAGATCATGCAATCTCAAGGCCTAAAGATTTTCTGAGGAAAAACTTAAGCTGTTAAGGAAATATTCTGCAAGCAAGAAAATTTCACGTTAAATAAAAAGTCTCTGTATATATGTGAGCACTTAGCAAAGTAAAAGCGTTATTCTCCTCAACCAAGTATTTGAACTGATCTCTGGAAAGCATATGGGAACAAAGAGAACAGGTGAACTGAAGTAGATGACATCCCAAATATTTTCCTAAATAAAAGTATTATAAGATACCATCAAAAACATGCAGTAAAACATTTAACATCACAAAGTCAAAGTTTGTTCCGTTGCATGCACCAGACACTGAAAGCTTTCAGAAAATGCTGTGCTACTTTTTCAAGAATAATATGACAAAATTACTTCAAACATACCAAAAAGGCTTCTCTTTTGGCCTGTAAAAACAAAAATACAAGAATTTTCAAGGTGCAAAGAGCAGTGAAAGCATTAATGAGTATGATTTAGGCTAAGAAACAAACAAAGGGTGTGTATATATATATACATATATATCTTTTAGATAGATATACTAAGAAATACATTATATTTTATATATACTAAGAAAAAAACAAACAAAAACAAGGCAGATACTAAAATAGTGAGAGTAATCCCTAATATAAGAACCATTGTTTATGCTGCAGTGAATGAGATTCCAATTTTAGAATGTATTGGTTTAATGTTAGGAGTAAACAAACCAAAAACGCTTGCTATCAAAGTTTTCCAAATTTCCCACATCATAAATTGTCTTAACACCTGCTGTTTATGAGAGCGTAAAGGTGTCTTATCATGCTAGCCACAGAAAATATCAGGGTCAAAAAACCAACAGTGCTGTGACTGCAACCGGAAAGCAATTTTCAAGGGGAGTGTTAAAGAGTATTACACTAAAAAGTGGTTTAAGAGTAAAGATGTGCTTTTATGTCCATTTAAGTAAAAAAAATAATATGCAGTAGGTTTTGGTACATCGAGTGTTCAAGATTCTGTGTCCAATTTTAGTTGTAGGTAAAATATTATTCTAGATTTTCTTGGCTAAAGTCACCTTGATGAAATATTAGGGAGAAAATTTTTGGTACAATAATAGCTCTGCTCATTCATATCTTTGCTATGTAAGATTAATAAACTTACTTTATTTATGATTATAGTAGCACTAGGGAATCTGACTGTTTTTCTTAAGTAACGATGTAGATCTTTTTTTTTTTTTTTTTTTTTTTTTTTTTTTTTTTTTTTTTTTGTTTTGTTTTGGTTGTTTTTATGATGAAATCAGTTTTAATGTTTCATTTTAGTACCTGGTTGTCAGTTACTATCCATCAGCAATTCTTTTATACTTTGTTCTAAAAAGGTTTTCACTGGTGCACTCTATTTCATAGCTTTTTCAAAGAAATCATATGAAAAGTGTGAAAGCATTCAGTGAGCCATACATGCCCACATAAAGTTAAAAATACTTCTTTATGTCCGTTGCATATTTATTTTATGCCGTATGTCACTTGATTTGCAGTGAGTTGGAAACTTGAGTGTTGCTTTACATATAAAGTCACCCATTAGAATTATTATCTGGTAGCTAGAACAATTCTGCAATTTAAGCTGTTCCCAGGCCCTTTAATATTTTTCACATTTCTAGTGTGGCAAGTAATATTCAGGTATACTGTATAAATACAGACCAATGATTTTGGCATCAATACCATTATTCACACCTTCTGTAGCAAACCAGAACCCATAATTAATTAATTTCTGTTTCATTGACAGGGCACATTCATTTTCTAAGTTGTTGCAAGGCTGTGTACTACCATTATGACTATCAACTGACACTTTAATTGTACAAAACTCTGAAGTCATGAAGTGACTTCATGAAGTGAAATCAAAAAACATTTCACTTTAAAAAACATTTAATTTTAACAAATTTTTGAAAGGTTTCACATTTTAAAGGATGAGAATGGGAGATATACTCCTAAGGGTAAATTTTTTAGATTACTTCATTGAAGAAGAACATTAAACTAATGATTGCCAGTGAAGAAAACTTTGGAGAAAGTCAAATGCTTTCAAAAACTGGATTTACATGTGCTTTAAAAATGTTCCCATGGTAAAGTTTTTGTACTCTGACCAATGACCAAAACCCATCTGAAATAAAATAAGTTGTTTGTTTCTGCAATCTGTAAGAAGAAAAAAATATTATCAGGGTGCATGGAATCAGGATTCTGGCACAATCTTTTTGCCTGCTTCTGTTGTGACTAGGCCACAAAAGTGAGAGTAAAAATGCTCATTTCAGAAATCTTATGATTCTGCCAATCTGGAAAATTATAAAAATCTGATGTATAACCAGGCATTTTAGAATCTATTGTTTCTAATCTATGATTTTTCAAGAGAAACCCAACTTTCAGCAAAATTAAATGAGCTACTTCTAAGTAGCCACATCCCTATATAAGAGCATGAATACTTCTTACAGCTGAGACAGTGACTTGCAAGTTCAGCAGCCAAAAATCAAAAACTCAGCATTTGGCAGAAGACAGCTGATCAAGCTCAGACAAAAGATCAGTTTTGCTTCATTTTTTGATATGTGTAAATATAGTCTTGAACAATTTCTTTGAAGTGAATAAAGAAGCAGTTCATTTGGAGTTAAATATTTTGATTTTCAAATTTTCTTCTTTTCAGCAAAATTTGACACAATGTCAGAGGATCAGTTGTATTTTTTCATAAATAACTATTCCAAACACTTCCAACTGCGCTTTATTTTTTATTCAAACCAAAGGAGTTCATCACAACTTGATGAGGCAAGTCCACATCTATAAAACTATAAGTCAGGAAAGCATGTTCAAGTGGGTTTTTTAAAATCTATTTCTGAATTGGTAAAAAAGTGTTAAATGCACCTCTGATAAGACCTTGAGTCAGCCAGAGCTTCTAGGTAAGTCTGACATTGCTTAAAGCAAGTATAACAGAAGCCACATAAAAAGCTTACACACTCTAAGGATAAGCTTTAATAAAAGACAGAATCATAACTGAAGCTTTTAAGTGGAACAGACCTGTTATGGTGGGTGATAAAAATGTATGTAAAAAGCAACCTCCCAGACCTTTCTGTTCTTAAAGGACTGGCTCTTGGTTTAGAACTTAGGCCCTATGACAGATGACTTTCCCACTAACACCTTTGAGTCCTGCCTACGTGTCTACTTGCTTGTCACCAGAGGGATCATAGGAGTTTTTATCACTTGTTTGGGTTTCTTACTTTCTTAGTGTCCCCCATGCTGCTTACCCATCAGGAGCTGCACACAACAGACACTATGAATCATGTTTTGGCACTATATATACAAATATTTATTGAAATTGATTTATTTTTTAGAATTGATTATTTTAAAAATTAAACAAAATGTTTTCTATACTGCAAAAGGAGAAAAATAAGTGATGGTTAAAGTAACCATGGATGTCCCACTTCATCAGCCTCACAGATCTTCTATGACAGAATAATCTGAGTATGTAGTTAAGCTTGATTTGTTAACTTCCTATTTACAGTATTGCTCTTTACCCATGATACTGTTAGATCTATTTCCTACATAAAATGACCTGGTCCATTGTATTGGCAAACATATACATTTCCACATCTTCTGCTCAGGTACTAGGTAGTAATATAGTAAATACTGATACCTAAGTTCACCAGTTGTCTGAGCCATTATAAATGCATGAAATATCCTTTAGTCATCGGCAAGCATCACCTCTACAATTCTGTTGATATTTTCATTGAAAAACAAAACACACAAAAAAAACCCCAACCACAAAATAAGTCAACATTAAAGTTTGTTGTAAGACTTTTTTATAAGTACATCAAAATTAAATAACTTCATATGTAAGACAGATGCAGGCATTACCATTAGAAGACCTGTAATAGTGGCTGCTTGTGGTATTTGCCAAGAAATTATAGTTCTTTCTTATAAAAAGTACAAGAGCAATGACCTGGATGATTGTAGTCTATGTTCTAGATATTCCCAAACTGGCCAGTTATGGAAATAATAATTTCAGACTGAAAATCATGTCTAAATAAATAATTAGAGCTGGGGAAATATATCTAATTAATCGGAAGGATGATCTTCTTATGACCATATGATGCAGAATGAATCTTCCATCTCTCTGCTTTTCCAGAAATGTTTAATTCTCAAAATTTCAAGGAAAATTCTTGAATATTTTGCAACTTAATTTTTGTTTATATAACTCAAAAGCTATTAGAAATTAAGTTTAGGTGAAAAATACAGAATGAAGATGCACAATTTTTTTTGTGTCTCAGGCATACCTCCTAAATATACAGGATGTCTGTATTGCTTATCTGCCTTGTTAACTGTTAAAAAGGAGCATAAATTGTAAAGAAATACCATATATTACATTTGCACCTAGAAGGTGAGTCAAAGTGCATCTGATTTGATGTCACATGATTTCTTTCTATGCTCTGCTGGATCAGATTTACAGATGGCAAAAGATATCTGTCTTCTCGCGTGTGGTAATCAATCCCTTCTTTACATAAAATAAATAAAATAATTTGGAGGAAAAAGCCTTTTTTTTTTTCACAAACTGTTCACAGAGATATTAAGTGGCTGGTAAATATGTTATTACTAATAATTCATACTGTTTATTAGATATGGCAAAACATTATAACAGTTACATCATATGATTTTTTTCCATTTTATCACTTAGATATAGTCAAATTACAATGGTCATGTGATTATAACAGAAACAGATGAAAAGGATAAGTGATAATAGTAGGGCATACATATAAACAAAAAACCAAAAAAAAAAAAAAGAAAAAATCAGTTAGATTTAAATTCATTGACACATTTTTATTAAGTCAGGGCTAAAGCAAAAGTATTTACAGTGTAAATCTAAACTTATCTTCTGAGTTATTGGGAAATTTATGTACATATTCGAGCAAGTTGGTACAGTTCCATTTATTTTGTCCTGTTGTGTTTATAAATTCCACTGAAGCTTTTCCTGTAAATTCCATCTCATTATTTTATGTCTCATCATGGATAATGTTGAGGTACATTATCTGAAAGGTGCTTTATGGAAATAAATTGGTTTGACTTTGTCATGTAAGAGTAGCAGAACACTTACTTTTCAACTGACTTGGGTTTTTCCCATTTTGTGTTACCACAGTGGGTTTTCAATGTTCTGATGTTCCTATGAATATGTTGCAAAGAAAAAAAAAAAGGAAACCTCAAATTGTAAATGAAATTTATTTTGCTTCCATTTTTTCTTTATTTCTACCTACTATTTCCCAGATGGTGCTTATGCATGAAGTGCGTATTTAAGGTACACCTGTTGCAAAGGAATTAATAGCTAATATTAGAGAGACCTCTTGAGATGGATGGATTGTTAATCAAATTTGTATACAGTGCATGAGTTCTTTATAATTTTTCAAATATAAAAGCTGTATATCAACAATATTTCAAACTTACTGGCTTTGTCTGTCAAGATTCTCTTGTGGTTTTGTGGCTTTGAATATTTTTTTGGAGGAAAAGGAATTGCTTTGTTTTGCAAAAGAATCTGGAGCTAATAGTTTTTCAGCTATGCATTGTACTTTGGTACCTTCCAGCTAATCATTAATCCTTAAGCAGTGACCTTCATTAAGCAGTGATATTCATTGCTAAAAAAGTCACAAAGAATGTTAATGAAATCTAAAAAATATCTAGGTTATCCATAGAAATAACAGCTCCTGGAATAAATAGAAAATAGTCTACAGTAATTCATATTTAAGAATAAAAAAGCATGAAGGAGTCTGCCTTCATGATTCCTGACAGGCAATGTCATCCAAAGCCTGTGAGAAAATATTTATTTCTGTACTACCCCCTGATTTAAATATTATGAGGGTGGGAAACCACTTATAAGCAGTATCTGGGTGTGAAAAACTTATTAGGGAAAGGTGCAGATGTGCAAAGGTGAGACAGTCAAATTTGTCAAATTGATGTCAGAAGTAAAGGATTGGGCTAGTTCCTTCAGATATTTAAGTGTGTCACCGACACCACAGCATTGAAAAATCTCCTGAGGTCAGTGTTTGCTCCGTGCTGTATGACATCTGCCCCTAAATTTTCAAGGCAGTACACAGAAATGTAACTTTCTAGCTCTCATTACAGTCAAAAGAAATTGCTTCAGATCTGGAACCTAGTATTTCACAAAAAAAAAAAAAAAAAACCTAGACACTCTTATACGTTTTGCAAGTACTGTACAGCAGAATTAAGAACAGATTGTTATTAACCCAATAATTTTGTGTGACACATATTGTGTATTTTCATCAATTGCACAACACAATTGAGAGAATAGATTTTTTGCCCGTTTCAGTTACATGTCCAGGCTGTGGCTCACAGGGAGAAATGCTTGCCTTGGATAACAATGAATGTTTCCATTGAGAAGAACCTTCCAGAATAGCAGGATCATGTACACGTTACTTTGTGTACAACAGAATAGTCACTGCTTATAGCTTTTCTGTTTGGTCAGAAGGTATCCATTGATTTCTGATTTTAGCGCCAAACAAAGCAATTCTCTGCAGCCTATTTTAGTGTCAACATTATTGGCTGCTGCAAATTGAGGACAGGAAAGAATGTATATACCTGCATATACTTCTTACACCTCTGACTTAATGACACGTGAAGATAGAAACAGACAGGAAGGAAAATTTTGCAAGTAACTACAAACGCACTCTGGAAGAATGGGAACATGCTGGAATTGACATGTACATGCCAACTTTTTTTCTGGCTGGATAATTGAAACTAGTCCTGAGATAGGTTTGGAAGTGTTTAATTGCCTAAGCATGAGACAATACTAGATACATTTACTTAATGCTAGACACATCTGAGCTCTCCAGGAGATGAGTCTCACTGCTCCAGGAGCCATCACTCCTTGTTGGGAAAAGAACCATATCTAGGTCATGACTTGGGACAGCTCAATATGCAGGTGCTGCTATTTATTTCCATTATGATACATTCAGTTACCTCACTACTGAAAACTTACTTGCTTCAGCAAGGTGGAATTAATCAGGGCACATCTTTAGACATCTGAAAATAATTGAAAAGCCGGTCTTTCTAACTTGGGCTACAGTCACCTTCCGTAAGTCATTGGTACGTACCTATTCCTGCAATAAAATTAATGGGCTTTGAATGCCACAGATGGTCATTGCTATCAAACTCTACATTTAAAAATGACTGGAAGTATAAAGCAAAAGCAAGGCTTAGCCACTCTTAATATAATCATCTTTAGGAAGCCTTCAGCAGCATACAAAGTGGTTTTTGATAAATGGCAATGTAATGTCCTATATTTTCCCTTGTTCTTTTTCTGTCCAGCCTCTTTTCTTCAGGGTGACTTGGTTCGGCTGTAAAGATTTTTCCAAGTAACACCACCACATTTGTATTTACCTTTGAAAAAAGAAGATAAGAGCGATGAATGGAAGGGGATGATGAAATTTCAATTAATTCCAAAAGTTCATACTTCTGAATGTAAATGAATAGCATAGTAAAGATTGAGTTGCATTTCTGTCATTTTTCATTATGTTGTTCTGGTCTGAGGTAACATGATGTGATCAAAATAAACATGAATTAATTAGACATATACATTTGACTTTTTTTTTATCTGACAGAGATACTCTAATGCGATATTGAGAGAAAAGCTACTGAGGCACGAAAAACTGAAGCCACTTGATAGATCTTTTAAAATTCTGAATCATTATTTTTAAGTTTTATAAACTGAGTTTGAAATATTATTTTATCAAGTCAAGGCTATTTCTTGTTCATGCCTGCGCATATGTTCTCAGTAAACGTAATGGGAAAATGGACTAATTGCATTCACTGTCACATAAATTTTGAAATCAGAAGAGGATTAACAGCAACATTTTCTGCTCTTAATATTCTGTACTTGAAAGAAATAAAAGCAGGAATCATCGACTGAAAGAAAGGCATTTGGTTCTTCTGCAATTAATACTTTAAAAAAGTAACTACATATTCATTCTTCCAAGAAATGTTCACTTTAAATCACACAGTAAAGCAAGGATATATCATGGTAGATTTTAATACTGTAAAAATGATGTGATTGCTGTGAGAACCTGAGAATTATGTTTGTCCACTCAAATACAGATTTACCAACACTAATCACATTTCTGCCTTCTTTTACATTTCATTCATCACTAAGAATGTATCCATTGGAAATGTTCTTGGCTCATGCTTTACACAAAGAAGAAAGCAGGAAACTCTGAGTGAAAGCAAGGCAAATCACAATCTGGGGCCATTGCTTCTACTCAGCAGAATATGTTCTGATTTAACTAACAGAGCATGAGCACATATTGCTTTCCCATGCACTGTACCTCTCAAGATCAAGGAGTTTTGCCTATTGCAACTTAAATTAACATATTTGTTTGAAGGTTAAGATATTATATTGATCTTGTGCATTTTCTTTTCTTGAAGCACTCAATGGCATGCATATATATATATATGTGTGTATATATAGATATACATATATGCATATATATATATATGTATATACAACCATAAATAGACATGCACATATGTATATGTGTGTTTCTTCCCTGTGCTTTTAAATAAGTGTAAGAACAGCAGCACATTTCAACATGTACTGACTGAAAACAAATCAAAGGATGGAATTGACACATTATTTAAATAAATCAAAACATTCCCTTAGTGAGCAAAACGTCCAAGTACAACATGGGTCTTGAACAAAAAATGGGGATCCAATGACAATGCAGAAAGGCTGCTGCTTTTATAAGTGAACTGGAATGAATACGATTGGCTCAGTTATAGGCTACATCTGTGGAATAAGCATCTTGCTATTCATATATCTGTGGTTTCAGTACTTCTGTGGGAGTGAAGAACTCCAAAACTCCAAGTACAGAACGTAAGTATTTTTCCTTTTCTCTCTAGAGTATTCATCCATAATTCTGCCAACTTGAACTGTGTGGAGAAACAAGTAATTACAAATTACACTACAATTTAGCTTATATATGGAAAATATAGATCTGAAAGTAAACTTTCTAATCAAAGCATTACATTCTGAGCCAGCAACAAATTAGTTTGATTAGTTATTGTGCAAACTGTTGGCCTAAAAGCCATCTGTAAATAAAGACAATTGGAAAAATATTGGACATTATAAGCAGCCATAACATTAACTTGCTTTTGCGTTTTCTCACCATGTAGTGCCAATCTGGCATTGTAGAATCTGCACAGTAACAGTGTATTATGAATATGTAAATATGCCAAATATGCTGTAAGCTCCAGTCTGGCATGTTGATAAAACACAAAGTTACTGCATGCTCTGAAACTGAGCATTAGCTCTCCACATTTGCTAACATTAATACAAACTACTTCATGTATTGCAGCTTGAAAGATGTTCAATTAAAACGCATTCTGCCTGGTATAAATTACTATTATTATGTTGTGAAAGAAAACCTGGAAGTATCTGCTAACTTGTTATATGTGCACTGCCCTTACTCTCACCTCAACTCCCAGACAGCCATTTCAGAAAATTGCCTTTAGTTATTTAAAATTCTGTCATGAGCTGGTTTAAACAATAAAGTACAGAATACATGCATAATTTTTTGAGACTTTCATACTTTAGGCAACTGGAAAATACCAGTAGGCAATAGCTGTATTTTGAACATTTATTTTTATTTCCAGAATATTTACTTTACACACAGGCACATACACACAGACATACTTTATTAGACTGATGTTCATTGCTAAAATCCATTGATTTGTCTCAAACTATTTTAAGAATAATCAAATATGAAGTCACTTTAAACACTCATGTCCAGAAAAATTATTCATTTATCTATTGCTTTGATGAGAAAAATAAAACATGCAATGTTGCATTATATCTCTCTCAGTTTTTAACACTCAATAAGGTGAACAGCGTAGATGAGCTATCCAAACAAAATTTATGTTATTCTCAGACAAAAATGGACACATGTAAATATTTAAATAATAGTCTTACCACAAACAGACTGGTTATTTGATTGTTAAAAATGTCATATTAATCATATGTAACTTGAACTTTCATAATAGCAGAGTTAAGGCATGCTTGAGAGCACTAATTGAGAAAAGCGCTTGTAAATATTTATAAAACCAGACAAGTGTCACTATATTTTATTTCTACAAAAAGTATCTAAGCCCCCTGAATTTCCAAATTGGAGAGGTCCTTAAATGCATGTCCAATAGATATATAGATAATTTTACTAGCATCCACTTGCACTTAATGGCAAGCATATGCCAGCCAACATTTTCTAAATTATGGCTGACTCCTGGGAGTTTTGCGTAGCTGAAGACTGAACTGGGGAATTAACACAATTAAAAACTTGGCAGTATTTTTAATACCTTCACTCTCCAAACTCCCAATGATGGCTATAAAATCAGGCAGATTTTGCAAAAGCATACAAGGACAGCAGTCTTGTATGCTGGATAAGATCTTTCATATATTTGAGTAGTATCTGACAGGGTCTCTAAGGCTTTCAGGGACACCCAGCATCTTTGTCTGTTCCCTGGCTGTACTTGGGCATTTTCTAGTACAGCTTGAAAAATATCTGCTAATGAAAGCCTGAGAAAAGGCTCTCTAGGCCATAGAAACCTGTGCAACTGGATAAAAAATTGTGTTGTCATGGGGTATTAGGACCTCAGGGGTGTTTCTACAAGAGAGCTGTACCTCAGATCTCATTGTGGTTTTGCAGTGACACTCCTGACCACTTTGTCAGAAAAGGCACTGTAGGATCATGTTTCCTGCACTCAGCTTGCTGGCTGGAGGAATCCCATTGAATCATACCTATCTGGTCCCTAGTAAGTCCTCCCAAGACATTAAATGCCAACCATTGCACCCTTGGTTGCATCAACTCCTTTTGTGTAACTATACTCTTTCATGCAGGTATAGCCTAAAATTGTCTAATTATTTTAGGGCATTTAGAGTTGTAGGCACGCGTCCTGATAGTTATTTTTTTATTAATTTGTATGTGACCTTTTAATTTTAAAGATAAGCAATGTACTATAGTTATTCTGTAATCACTTTTCAACTTAGCACAAATGTTTTACAGTTTGGTAGACTAAATTCAGACTAATTCAAATATGAATCACATAAGCCATGTAATTACCAAACTGAAAATTATGTATATTATAATTTTAATGCAGAAGTTGATATATTTGCACTATAACGTAATGAACTCATGGAGTTTATTTCCCTAAGTGACTTCTATCACCTTGATCTGTTTAGTGCCATCCCTGCTGATCGCAAAACTTATTCTGTCCAGAAGATCTGACTGATAAAAGTTCTTAAAAATCACAGCTCTAAAGACAATAAACCTCCCACTTAACCTGTAGTCATCTGGTTTTCCCCATAAGAGATAATACTTCTCTCAATTTACATTTTAATTGCTTTTAAGTCATTTAGCAATTTGCAAATATCATCCTAGATGACTAAGAGAGAAAAGTAGAAAACATTATATCACATTTTGCAAAATGCCAAGTTAGCAGGGAGATCTAACCTTACAAATCTGGACCTTGGCGTCAATAGGCATTACCCAAATCACAAAATGTTTGGAACATTAAGGAAAATCTTCACTGCAATAATTTCTTTTCTTCAACAAATGTACTCATACATCACCTAAGAGTCAGACAAGCTCTGAAACATTTTAATGACTAGTTCTTTTTCCAGTATGATTCAATCACAAAAGAGGGAAAGACAACCACATGACCAAAATCTTTGCAAATACAGATACAAAAAAAAAAAAAAAAATCATTAGGCCATTCATCATCAGGCTGCAATATTCTCCCCCTTTTTAATGCTGGATTGTGGTCACCAATCTTTACCAATTACAATAGTGTCAGACAAAGGTCCCTTCCAACTCATAATATTTTGTGATTCTGTGAAATATGCTTAGTATATGACAGATCCCTTCTAATTAAATTACTGTGTGTAACATTTTGAAATATGACTGAATTGCTTTGAACCTTTTGAATCATGACCTGTGCTTTTAAGACTTTGGCAAATTTCATCCTTTTATATAAACTCATTTTTGAAATTAAGGACAAAACTTCTGCATTCTTTCACACAAAAAAAATCCACTAGCATCACCTGCATTATGATCATCTTTTACTAGCAAAGGAGAAAAGAATTGGAAATCAATGGACCAAAACAAATCCATAGAGAATGAAGCCTAAATTAAGGCTAAAATAATAAGAGGGAAACACTATGTATTTTGGTTTCTTGAAAGACTGATGCAAAGAAAAAATAAAGTATTTGGGACAACTGAAGCGGAAAGGAAAAATGAACCACTCTGACTGCTACTCTCTCATATTCTGCAACATCAACATCTCATCTGGCAACACTGATTGGTTCATGAAGCAAGCAGACCCAGCAATAGATGGGAATGCAGCTTGCATTTTCACTTTCAGTAGCGGATTCTACCTGGATGTAATACTTGTGCTTTTCTGCCTTTTTCTTGGGTTTATTTTGCATTCTTTCTTATTACAACCTAGTTTGATAAGTAGTTCTCAAAGTGTGCAGAAATTTTGCCACGTATATGTCCATTAACTGAGCAGGAATTTTTTCAGTA